TGTAGCAGAAGAGAAGGCAGTGTGAAGGCATACATGTCTAGTATAAACTCTAGTAGGCGAGGGAAAGCCATTAAGAAGCAAGGACCCTAGACAAGCTCATAGCTTTGAGCAATTGTTGCCTCTGTTGGTGGAGTTATAGGATGGGCTGAGAGGAATGGTTGTAAGCCTTTAAAAAGAGCAGCTGAACCCAAGATTTTCTTCTAAGTCCTATATTGCTAGAGGACTCTCCCTCTTGCATCTCAGAGCAGACTGGAGGATTACTATAATGAATGGTAAAACTGTCAGCCTTCTTTCTTATTCCCCCCACCCCCCCGCCCCCACTGACCCACACTGGAGATTGGAGGACTCCTCTTAGTGTAAATGAGAAACCAAGAGAAAAGACTTATAGCTGCTCATAATTTAGGGTCCCCCAAAGAAAATGGTGAGGTGGTTTCTCATGTAATCACTCTCTATTCAGGCTCATTGATGGACAACTCTGCCATCCCCCTTTCTGCTTAGTATTTTATTATCTTCCTCTTAAGCATAAGCCAGTAACCACGGAGAACTAGAAATGTGAAGATAGTCTCTATTATGAGAACAAAACAAATAACCTATGTTTAACAGCTTTTGAGAGTTAGAAGATGTTGTCCCATTAAATAAAACCAGGAGACCATAAAAAGTAACACACAGGATTTTTGTAACAGCCTCTTGGAAATTAAAAATGTGATGAAAATAATTTAAAAAAAAACTTCAAATAAAAATACCTTCCAGAAAGTTGGGGGCGGGGAGAGAGAGAGAGAGAGAGAGAGGGAGAGAGAGAATTATTAAAGAAGTAAAGCAAGAGCCCTAGCTGGTGTGGCTCAGTGAATTGAGTGCTGGCCTATGAGCCAAAGGGCCACCAGTTCGATTCTCAGTCAGGGCACATGCCTGGGTTGTGGGCCAGGTCCCTATTTGGGGGTGTGCAAGGGGCAACTGATCTATATCTCTTATGCACTGATATTTCTCTTCTCTTTCTCCCTCCCTTCCCCCCTCTCTCAAGATAAATAAATAAAATCTTAAAAAAAATAAAGAAGAAATTTCCCTGAAAGACAAGAATTTTGAGATTGTGAGTGTTCTGTCAGTACTCAGAACAATAAATAGTCCACACCAAGACACCTTATTATGTTACTTTAGAACACTGGTAAGAAGATTCTGAAAGGGGGGAGAGACAGACAGACAGAGATCCTATACCAAATAAAGAATAAAAGGAAATGGGTTTCTCAACAGTCACACTGGATGTAGAAGACAATGGAGAATACTTTCAAAATTCTGAGTGAAAATAACTTCCAACCCAGAATTTTATTTCCAGAAATCTAATCATGTAATGGTGAATGTGCTCCACCAAAGTGAGAGAGTAAACCAAGAATGAGGAACAATTGAGAGGATGCCAATAGGATACAGATGTGTTTTATTTTGGTAGCGAGTACTATAAAAGGACTCTTATTAAAGACATCATTGTCATATAAGCATTAGGAAGGCAGGGGAGTTTTCTTTTGTTTACTGTGAACTGCTAGTGCCTAGAACAATGGCTGGCACACAGTAGGTCCTCAATAAATATTTGTTTCAATGAATGAAAGTTTCCCCTAAGGAATATTCCTCTTAGGAAATTTGTAAAGAAAATACAGTAAGTTAAAGTAAATAGAAATAAACTTCAAAAGCCATAGTACCTGGAACCTGTTTTTCTCTAAAAATTTAATCCTATTGTTTTCAAGGTTTGAAAGTAATTACATAAATAGTTAAACTGAGGATCAAACTATTTGAGATTATTCAAAGGTGAAAGACATTCCTAGGAAACTATTCTCTGTAAATTCTTATGCTAGTTTGATTGGGGATGCCTCGAAGCTCAGAACAGTTCCTGGGAAATCAAAATGTAATTTTCTTAGGTTAGAAAGCAAATTATTTTATTGACTTTGTATTCCATCACTCACTGATATAATACAAGGATGGGCTGAGGAAAACTGCCTTGTTTTGCTTTTCAAGTTGCTAGAGAAGAGAAAAGAAGCCCTCTGTACTTCCTCTCATATTGAATTCCAGAAAGTTTTCACCAGGGCATGAATGCCTTTTATTAAATAACAAAGAAAAAAACAGGTGCATCTTTGGATAAACGATTTGCTTTTCCAAATCTAAATTGGGTCTGCAGTCCAACTCAACTTGGCTGCAAATTCACTGCTAACTCTTAATGTAATGAACCCATGGAACTGTTCATTCACTCATTCCCTCTCAGAACACTTGCTGTGCACCTACTATGCACCAGGCACTGTGCAAAATCAGTAGTGGAAGAAGAAATATTTCTGGGACATCTGAGCATCCACGAAGATATTCAGAGCACAGAACCAGGTACCTTTGTGTTCAGATGGGTCTCTGGGTTGGGGATGCACTCTTTCTTGTCAGAGGGCAGGATTCCTAGTCTCTGCAGCGTTTATGGAAACTTCAGCCGCCGTTTCCCCAAACAGGAGCTCTTCCTGGGGTTGTGAGCCACTCCTCTGGCGTTTTTGGAGCGCAGGGCACAGCCAGGGATTGCGCCCCGGCTGGATGGCAGGACGGCTGTTGGTCCCAACATTTCGGAAAAGTCCTGATGACATAGAGTCTCTGGAGAGGCTGCCAGCTCTCCAGTGCTCAGCCCCAAGTGTTTGGAGTTCTTCACAAATTCATATTTGCGGGGCTCTGGGGAGGCCAACCCCCTGCCCGGCTCCTCCAGCACTCCCTGCCGGCTTCTCCTGCGCTCAGAGTCCCTGATAACTTCGTGGAGGCTAGAAAGCCTGTGGCTTTAGGGTCTGGGGCCTTCTGGACCTTTTCTCCACCCTGCCCTTCCCCCACCCCCCAAGCTGCCCAGCTATTTCTCCGTGTCCCCAGAACTCCGTGGACAGTGGTGCGGCCAGGAGCCGCTGGGGCAGCCTGCACGCTCTGCGAGATCTAGAGATGGTGGCAGAGATCCTGGAATACGCGGTTTAAGGGGCAGAGGCGTTAGTCAGGTAGTAGTACCTCCCAGCTACACCTTGTCATTCAGCAGCTCCCTTCCCGGCTCAGAAACGGGGGAAGGGACGCTGAAGTCTCTCATGTTTGCAAATTAAAACACATCTGCAAATATGAGAGGGCTTTGGGGAGGAAGGGCCTCCTAGTAAAGGCCACTTCGGTGTCTCTGGTTGCATCCAAAAGGGATTTCAATACTTTAGGCGCGCAGAAAGACCTTACCACTATTAAAGAGGAACCCCTTAGGGAGCAGCGCTTCCTGATATGGGGTTACAAAAGTCCTGGGAATCTTCCTGCTCTGCTTCCCGTCCATTACAGCCCCCAGCCACGCTCTAGGTGTCGAACAGCATTCCAGTGGGTAGAGGCGACTCCGGCCCAAGCAGCCTCTGAGCATTCTGCCTGCCACAGAAAACGAGGCCCGGAGGCCTAGGCAGACATCCCCTGGACTCCTTTCTGACCCTCACAAGCGATTAGAACCAGCTTTGGGGATACCACGAGCCTCTTGCTACGCCCTCCGTGCCCCGCACATTTGGGCAAGGCATCCATAGCTAAGCAGGGACAGGCGGGCACATTTCGGGGCGCAGCCGCAATGCGGTGCAGGGCTAGCCTGAGGCCCTGATGGTGGGTGGCGCTCCCTCACTTCTTCCGCATTGCTTCGACCTCCCAACCCAATCTACGATCTGAGCTGGAATCTTCTCTCCGTGCCACGGTGCATAGAGTGCCGACGGCGTGGACCCGAGAACCCGGGTTTCCTTAAGAAAAAGGGAGAGGCTTACTCCGCGTGCCTGGATGTGCGTGTGTCAACGTGTGTGCTGGGGGAGGACAATGTGTACCCCTGTGTACATAAAACGTGCCTGTTTCGCAAAGCAGAAACTCGCGGGGTTGCTTTCGGGTCCCTGCGAAGTTGGTTTTGGTGGGCGCGAGCGCTCTTTTGCAAACAGCTGGTGAAGGCGCAGCTGTTTCGGTGAAGCTTATCTGCGGGGCGGGTTGGGGGCGGTGTCCGTCTAGGAACGCGACAGGCGGAGTGTGTGGCTGGGGTCCAGGTATGTAAATGCGGGATTTGAGCCCGGCTGGAAGCAGGAGTGCGCGCACCTGCCCCCTGCCCGTCTGAAACTGAGTGTAGAAGGCCGAAGGGCTGCTTTTGAGCTTGTAGCTCTCACTCTCCTTGGTGGGTGGGTGCTCCGCCACCCTGCTTAACAACCCAGCACTTCAGGAAAAGTGAGTGTGGGGCGAGACAGGTAGAGACCCGGGCACAGGCTGCCCCGCCCAGCAGCTTGGCAAAAAACCAGAGACTCCGGGCAACTGTGTAAATGAACACTGGCGCTGCAGGGGAGGGTCCCAGATGCTAAACTCCCATTCGGGGATTAGGCAGCTGGGAAGGGATGCCTAGCCTCTGCGCAGACAGTGCCAGTTTAGCCCCTTCCCCAGTCCTCTCATTCATTTCTACCCGTCCCAGAGGAGTGGGGGGCGGGGGGGGGGCGGAGGGAATGAAACAGGGAATGTCGGAGGAGCACCCCAGTGGTCTAAAGAGCCAATCTGTCAAGGCCCTCCTGTTCCACCATCCCCCTCCTTTAGCCTGGGTTGTTTCAGCTGAGATGCCTTTAGACCCCAGGGCTGCTGTTCAGCCCTCTGGGGGTCCAGGTGGCAGGGCTGAGGGCTGCACTCGTGTGGCAGAAGGGGGAGGTGCGAGACCGGGTTCAGGCGCCAAGAAAAGTGAGAGAAGATCTGGCCCCTCACTTTTGGTGACTCCAAATTCCCCGATTTGTTCCCACTTTCTGGACGTCGAAAGCTCTCCACTCTCTTCCAGCCTTCAAGCTCTCCAAGCAATGACCTCATTGCAAAAGACAGTCTGAGCGGATGGCTCCCCTCCCTAGTGGACCGGTGCCGGGAGAGGGAGCAATGACGCAATCGGAGCTGGGTCGGTCCTGGCCACTTTGGATTGGCCGCGCGGGCTCGTGGGGACCCCCCTCCCACTACCACTGGAATAAGAGCCAAGAGCTCCGCAGGGAAGACGCCCACAGCAGGCGTTGTGTCCATCCGGGGGGACCAGCCGCTTGCACTCTCCTGCAACTCAAGTCTCCAGGTGAGGAACTTCCCACTCCACTTTAATAACCTGCTTCTGGATTAGTTCACCCAGTTTGCTCCACCTGCCTGCCTGCCTGCTTGCCTTGCCTTTGCCTCTCACGACCATCTCGGCCCAGCTACAGACAGGTGCTTCTAGCTCCCTGTCTCTGTCGGGAGAAGGTGGGTGGTCGGGGCCATCATTGTATTTTCTTCTAAGTAACATCAGTGGAACCCCAAGCATCGCCAGGACTTCGCTTGGGTGCTGGAAGCTCCGCGAGGGTCTGCGGCCCTTATGCTGGTGCTCCTCTCATCCTGCCAGAGTTTGGTCGGTCTGGGAGTGCCCTGTGCGGTCTGTGTCCTCAGGGACCCCATTTGGTTCCCGGGACTGTGGAGCCCTGAGCCTTCCTTTGAGGCGCCTCCGGCCAGCAAGCATCCCTGGGGCAGTGGCAGGGACCTGAGGCAGCGCAGTTAGCAAACCAGAACAGCGGGCTCAACTCCGGTGCTGGTACCTGCCATCTGCAGCTAACCTTCTTCCCGGTGCAGCCCGGAGACTCTAGTAACTGGCACGTTACATTTTCCCCAAATTCAAACCCACAGCACTCTTCCAGTTTACTCATCCGGCTTTCTTTTCCCCCCCGAGTTAGCAGGAAGTTCAGCCTAGGGGGAGGTGCTCCTGGATTTCTCAGTCCCTGAGAAGACAGGAGGTTAAGTACACAGCAAGGTGGGTCCGCGCCTGGTTTCTGCAGCGGGCAAAAGGCGTGGGTTTGCCTGCATGCGCACCTTTGTGGCTTCTCCCGGGCTGGCCACAGAACAGAGCCAGAATTCTCCCATTCTCACCCCAGGACACTTGCTTCTGCTTTACCAAGTCATTTACTAAAATGCATCTTTTGAGATTTACAACAGTCCCTCTGGCACATGAACAGAACCAAGGCATGAAGAGGGGGGGCGGGTAACCTGCCTGAGGACACAAGGCAGGCGTGGCAGAGGCAGGACTGGAACCTAGGTCTGTAGTCTCTGTAGGTCTGAGCCATGCTTGCTCCTGGTGCCGCGGTAACGTTATTCTCCTTTTACAGAGAGGCATCATGGGCTTCGGGAAGTCCTCCCCCTTCTTGGCTTTCAGCATCTTGGTCCTGTGCCAAGCAGGCGGCCTCCAGGCAGCACCACTCAGGTGAGACAGCCTGAAGCTACTAGCCACTGCCCCGGGACCAGACAATTTTGTGCCTGTGAAGTCACAACAGCAAGGCTCCCAGTGAATCAACCCCTTCGAGTGGACAGTGTTCCCGAGCCCTGTGGGCTAGCAGTGGGGAGAGAAGGGCACATTTTCAGGACAAGTCACAGTGGGCAGGAAGACCGGCTGCTTACCTTGGGCAGAGGCCAGACAGGGACTCAGAGCCTGTGCTGTGTTTGCCCCTCCGCAGGTCGGCCTTGGAGAGCCTCCCGGACCTCGACCCCGCAGCACTCAGTGAGAAGGAAGGGCGCCTCCTACTGGCTGCACTGCTGAAGGCCTATGTAGACAGGAAGACCAATGAGCTAGAGCAGGAGCAGGAGCAGGAGACAGAGGATGCCAGGTAAGGCTCCTCACCCACCTTGGCATGTCCAGGAGGACATATCCTAGGCAGGTAGGGAAAACAACATTGGCCAGGGGTCCAGCAGGCTGTTGTTCACCAGGCTCTGGAGCCCAGCTATTCTCATGCTTCATGGGAGACAGAGGTCCGGGGCAGCTGGAGGAATTGAGGTTAGACACATTTAAAAGATCCATTTCTGAAAGCTGCTAGGAAATGAAATGAAGAGGTGTGGCATCACTTTCTCTGGGAACTGGTCTTGCCCCACTGAGGAGACATCCCAGCATCGGATGAATTAAGATTGGTAAGTGTGAAGCCAGAATGTGGACCTGGTATATCTGCAGATGTGTTAGAAACTTAATCTGTGTGCGTTATTTTCTCACACCTGCAAGAAGAAGCCTGTGTTGCACATGTGCAAGGTGAGGCCAAAGGCCTTGCAGAGGGTGGAGTCAGGTAGAGCAGTGTCTGAGGTAGGTCTGGAACCTTTAATGTGTAGGATCTGTGGAGATGCGCATGTTGTCATGGGGTGGGGAGTGCGTCCTTCCGCAGCCCCACCTCCCTCTGCACCCTGAGCTTGGAGCACACCCCAGCCCCTGCCCTGGCCCTGGCCCTGCTCGGGCAGAGGCACAGTTGTACCTGCACCTGCCCTGAGAGCCTCTCTGCAGAGCACGAAGGCCTGAGCAGCATGCGCAAGGCCAGGAAAGGTCACCCCTTTCCCGCCGCAGCCCTTCCCCACGCGGCCCTGGCTCAGCAACTGTGGGAGTTCTAATGAAGGATGTGTGAGCTGCCCTCCTGCCCCTGCTCTAAGTGACTCTAAATGACTCCTAACGTGCATGGCTGCTCCCTGGGGCCAACCCAGTGCATGGTATTATTTGGCATGACTTTTCCCTGCAGCCAGGACACCTCCAGAGCTAAGTGGTGCAGTAATCTGAGTACCTGAGTGCTGGGCACATATGTGAAGTACCTGAACAACTTTCATACATTCTCTGTCATCGGCTTCAGGGTTGAAACACCTGGTAAGAAAAGGGAAATAGCCAGTGGCGTGGAGAAAGATGCTACCCCAACTTTGAGTTGCCTCAGGATACCAAGTGAAATCCTTTCCCTCCCTCCTGATTTCCTTTCTTGCTCCCATTGAATTTGGTGCATGCAGATTTCAATCTGACTGCTTGTTAAGCTGGCACTGGTAGCTTTGCTTATGGCAGAGAATGTTGCAGACCTCAGGAGGGAAGGAAAGAGAGCAGGACTCATAGACCAGGTAAGAGATAAGAGAGGATGAGGGAAGCCTCCTGAGATCCTAGAGGAGATCATTGCAGAGCCCTCCAATTTCTTCTTTATCCCTCACGCATCATCCTTGATGAATAAATCTATTTTCTAAAAGGATTTACACTGCGGTGGTCATTACTCTGGTCCCTCTTCAAGGCTTGAGAGTGCCCAGGGCCTTTGTTTAAGAGTGATGTCAGCCTCAGGGTAGCTGGATACAGGGCTGGGTGAGCAATTCCTGGGAACCAGCTCTGGCACCAGGAACAGGTGTGCTGGGGAGCAGGTAAGCACTTCTGGGAGAGGAGCCTGCAGGCCCTGTTCTCTGAGCCTCTTCTAGGTAAGACTTCAAGGAATTTTTATTTTCCCATGGAAAGTGGTTTTTTTGGTGCCCATGGCTGGGGTATAGCTTCTGTATGTTCCTTGTGTGTCCTGGGGTGGGGTTGGGCCTCTGCTGAGCACTGCTTCCTGAACCCAAGGGGATTATATGTATGGGATGATAACGGCATGGTTTCAGCATGTGTCCCATGGTTAGGAACGGGGTTCTTTCTTTCCTTCTTTCCTTCTTTCCTTCTTTCTTTCTTTCTTTCTTTCTTTCTTTCTTTCTTTCTTTCTTCCTTCCTTCCTTCCTCCCTCCCTCCCTCCCTCCCTCCCTTCCTTCCTTCCTTCCTTCCTTCCTTTCTTTCTTTCTTTCTTTCTTTCTTTCTTTCTTTCTTTCTTTCTTTCTTTCTTTCTTTCTTTCTTTCTTTCTTTCTTTCATAGCTGCTAGCAAAGGCTGTGAGGCCATTTCCTCTAACAGCTTTGATAATTGCATTTAGGAGAAACACTTATTCTTAAGTGGTATGTTGAAGAGCTACAATTCTTTTAGAGAAGGTCTCATGGGGTAGGCTCCTGACTCCAGCCTCTCACTAACAGTCTTTCTTTTCTTTCTCCATCCTGGAAATCAGTGTCACTGCCCAGAAGAGAGCCTGCAACACCGCCACCTGTGTGACCCATCGGTTGGCAGACTTGCTGAACAGATCTGGGGGCGTGGTGAAGAGCGACTTCGTGCCTACTGATGTGGGCTCCAATGCCTTTGGCCGTCGCCGCAGGGACCTTCAGGCCTGAGCTGCTCACCGACTCCAGGAAGAAGGTGACTGGCCTTGTACTGTGGGATGGGAGGGGAAGGGATCTGGAGGTTAACATCCACATTTTGAAACTCACTGGACCTAGGAGGTTCTTCAGATCCTTCTCTCCAATTGCATTCTTCCTCCTGAGGTAGTAAGTTCCTTCTACAACTCAGCTTGAAGTCAGAGCACTAGGGCAGGCTTCAGAGATGCAATTTCATCTCTCAGAGAATAGAAATGAACAGCAACAACAAAAATGCTTGCTGAATTCAGAAAAGGAGAGCTTTGCAAACCTTGGCCAGGGCTACTCCTCATTAATGAATCCAGGTTCAGAAAGCACTCAGCTCTCGATCCATGTTCACAGGTTCGGTGCAGAGGGCTGTAATCATACTACTACTGCTAATGTTCATAGTGACTGTTGAATTGTTTTTATTTTCATTTATTTTAAAAGTCTGCTTACATCTCGTATGCATAATTTGTAAATGCTGTTTAGTTAAAGAAGCACTTCTGTAAGTTCATGTTCTTTTCAGTAATAATTATGTTTATTCCCTTTTTGTCCTTCTCATTCTCCAAGTTCTCATTCTTCTCCTTTTTCTTTTTCTTCTTTTTTAAATTTTTCTTCATCTCAGGTTACCATGAAGCTGAACTCACCACTTCTATTAATTTCTGTTGACAACAACTTGGTGAGAAGGCCCCATGGAAGATACACATGTTTGCATCCAAATAAATACCAAAAAAAAAAAAAAAGCACCCTTGTCACTCAAAAGGAATGAAACTGAATGCAAAACAAGCTAATTCCATATTTGTTGTGCATCCTTTTTATATTTGATTCTATGTGCAGTAAACGTGATGGTATCTCTCATCAGCTTATCTGGTAGCAAACTGGTTCTTTGAGAGAGCTATCCTGTTGATCGTGGCAGCTTTGCCAAACCATAGGGGGACATGAAATCACTGCCTCTTGTGGCCTCTGGGGTGACGCTATGCTTTGTCGTAATGGAGATGCTATGCCTTGTTGTCGAAGAGCCTGATTGTATAATTGTTAAATGAAATGTCAATATTGTGCCATGTGTGAACTTCATCGAGATTAAAAACATATTTTGGGTACATGTGTTTCAAGACCCTGGTGATTTATTTCAACTTGTTTCCTTATGTAATAATAATAATAATAGTTAACATTTTTTTCAGTGCTTTCTATAGACAAGACAATGTTCTAAAACAGTACATTACACCTGTGAATTCATTTAATCTTCACAACAACTTTATGGAGTAGATACCATTATTATTTCTGTTTCACATCTGAGGAAACAAAGGCACTGAACAGTGTAGTGCCAGGACACCCAGGTTCAGGTGTTGGTTTCCAGAACTTATCTTTGAAACCACTGCACTGTATGCTTCCCAATGATGGCTCCTGATGTTTTCCAGAGTACTGTGAGCTGTTCTTTGACCCAGCTTCCGCACATGGTAGGCCATCAGATTTTGAAGACAAATGGAAAAATTTACACATATAAACAACCTAGTCTTTATCTAATAAAATGGATCCCTTTTACCCATTACTTTGTGTTACAGGGTGAATGTTTGTGTCCCCCAACTCCTCTCCAAAATTTAGATGATGAAACCTAACACCAAAGTGATAGTATTAGGAGGGGGGCATTTGGGGTCATAAGGGCCGTTCCCCTCACCAGTGGGATTAGTGCCCTTAAAAATAAGGCCAGAGAGAATTTCTTTGCTCCTTCCACTGCTGTGTGAGGTTACAGGGAGCTGGTTGCTATGAATGAGGAAATGGGTCCCCACCAGACACTGAATCCACTGGTGCCTTGATCTTGGATTTCCCAGCCTCCAGAACTGTGAGGAATAAATATTTGTTGTTTATAGGCTGTCTAGCTTGCAGTATTTTGTTATAGCAGCTCAAATGGACTAAAACACTTACTTAGCTTCAGTGATCAATTTATGGTCAATGATATTATATCTGTGCACCATTTATTCCCCCCGACCCATGTATTATTACATCGGTATATCTATACCTATTTCCCCATGTATCCTAAATGGAAAGTACTCTTTAAACATAACCACAATCCTATTTTGCAACTAAAATAAATTAATAGTAATTTCTTAGTTGTTTAATATCCCATATATAGTTATGGTTCAAGTTCCTCAATTATATATGCATATGTATTATACGTAATATTATATAAAATATATTTATATATACATATGTGTATAAAATCAGAGCTCAGGTTAGGACTTCGCATTGCTGCTGGTTGATATGTTCTAAGGCTCCTGTAATCTAAGGGCTTCCCCTCCATCTTTTTTTCCTCCTCCTGCAATTTATTTGTTGGAGAAGCTCGGTTACTTGTCCAATAGAGTTTCTCACATTCTCAATTTTGATGACTACATCCCTGTGATGAAGTTTATAACATGTTCCTTTATCTTCTGTTTTTCTTGTGAGTCAGATCTCTAGTGTGAGAGGGGAAAGAGAAGTGGGAGATGAGCTCAGGGAGGTAATGGAGGACTGAACATGGAGGACTTTGTAGAGTGGAGAGAAGACTGGCTTTCTATATTACTGATATTCTATATCAGTGGGACAGCATCCTCATACTTTCCTTTAGTGCTGTTTCCTTAAGTCATTTGCATATATTTAAAGTAGCTGGTTTAGAATTTTTTTTGTCTAATAAGTTCAATGTCTGTGTTTCCTGAAGAACAATTTCTGTTAACTGCCTTTCTTGCGCATATAGACTATTCTTTCTTGTGTCTTTGCATGTCTCAGAATTTTTTTGAAAACTGAACATTTTAAAACAATATAATGTAGGAACTTTGGAAATCATATTTGCTTTCTACCACAAACTCTAGGATATATAATTGCTTTCTGTTGCAGTTGTTGTTGCTTGTTTGCTTAGTGACTTCTCTGAGCCAAATTTTTAAAGTCTTTCTTCTTTGTTATGTAGCCACTGAAGTCTCTGCTTGGTTAACTTAGTGGTCATTTAATGACTGAACAAATATTTCCTTACTATCTAGGATCAATAAGTCTCTCAATATTTACCAAGGGGCTCCGCATGCATGTTGGGACATACCTTCAATACTCAAGCAAGTAGTTGATAACTCTGCCATACTTTTGACTTCCTGCTTGCAGACAGCCTCAAGGTCAGGTGTTTCCTGAGCATGCATGCAGCTCCATGCATATACATGGCCTTCTATATTCCCAGAAATATGTTAGAGCTTTTCAAAGTCCTTATAGACATTGCATTCCCCAGACTTTCCCTTAAATGTTTTTGGTTAGTTCATTATTTACTCCAAATATTATGCACTAGTTCAGGCATTTGTAAATTTATGTAAGTGCCCATAGCTGTTTTCAAAAAATGCCCCCAAAGAAAAAGGCTTTTTGCCCTGGTCAAACTCCATGTCAGATCAAAGAAAGACAGCATTGTAAATGGGGTCTTCCAAGGAATGAGACTTTGAAGGAGGGCCACCTTTATTTGCTAGATTAATGGGTTTTACCATGAAGCTGGGAGGTTAGTATTCAAAGCTACCATAGAGTTGGAGAGCAGGGCATGGGACTAAGGCAAGTTAAAATACCACAGAGCTCACCATTATTTCTGCAATTCAATAGTTTCTTTGAATAATTGTATCTTGAATTGGTGAAAACCTTTGGTTAGTTGCTAGAGTTTTGAAAAAGTAAATCTTGACAATCTTTGTTACTCCTTTCATTGTCTTTATAGAGAAGAAAAATTTTGGAGACCCTTAACTCCACTATTTTCACTGACAAAACTCCTTTTGCTTTCATTCATGAAAGATATTTTCACTGGATATAAAATTATGGATTGACAGTTTGTTCTTTTAGCATTTTAAAGATGCTCTTTCATTCTCTTCTGGTCTCCAAGATTTCTTAGTAGAAATCTGCATTTATTTGAACCTTTGTTCTTCTACATATAATGCATTATTTTTCCTCTGGGTATAATTTTCTTGGATTTTTTTTTCTGGTTTAGGTTTTCTGAAATGGAATCTGTAAATCTATGTTTTCTGTTAACTTTGAGAAGTTTTTAATTTTTGTGTGTGAATATTTTCCTTTCTTTTAGGGTCTCCAATGACAAATGTTAGGCCTTTTAATATTGTCCCACAATTTTATTCTGTTCAATTTGAAAGTTTTGTTTCTCTGTGTTCTTCAGATTATATAATCTTTATTGATTTATCTTTTAAGTTTTATGATTCTTTCCTGTCATCAACATTCTTCTATTGAGCCCACTCAGGGAAACTTTTTGTTTTGGATATTATATTTTTCCATTTAAAAATTTCTGTTTTGTTCTTTTGTATAGTTTTTATTTCTCTCTATGCTATCTCTCTGTTGATTTCTTTCATTTGTTCACTGTTGCCTCATAGAATATGCAGTTCATGGGTTTGGGTTTGAGAAATTTAAGTTACCTTTGGATGAAGCATCAAAAGACGAGAGTGAGGAAAAAATTCCTCACACTCTTTGGCACCCAAAGAGCTCCCTTATACAGTACCCTTTGTCAGAGATACAGGTTTCAGTTGCCCAAACTGCTGCCATCACTGTGACAGGGCAGCACAGACTCTGGGTGGCACTGGAGCAGAGCCAGGAGAAAAAGAAGAAAAACAAACAATGGCGATTAAGCCTCTGCCTTGAAGGGGCTTCTCTTTTTATTCTTTTGGCCAGAGAGAGAACGATTCTTGCATGGTTTTTGTTTTCTGTGCCCACTGCACAGTTCCATGACTGACACCACCCTTGAGTTAAATTTAGAAGAAAAAAGAAAAAAAACCTCAGGAAACTTACTGGTATTTTTTATTATTTTCCCCTTTCCCTGGTGCACTTGCTATTGCTTGCTTCTAAGAGTCCTCAAGGGGATCCTTTTCATATTTTTTCTGGATGTTTTAGTTGAAATTAGTGTGAAAGACAAGTTGTAGTGGGCTTTCTTCATCTTGGTCAGAATATTGACCATAAAACAATTAATATAGGAGATAATTATAACTTTAATACTTGAAATTTTTTAAGATTTTAAACAAGTCCAGATTCAAAGAGAAATCATAATAGAAATTTAAAATATTTACAATTAAATAACAATGAAAACACTTCACATCAGAATTCTGGAGTGTGGTGAAAAAATTATATAGGCCTTTATAATGTTAAAGGAAAAAAATGGGGACAATTTAATGAGCTAAATTTTTAACTGAATACCTAAGCTGAGGTGTTTAATTTGAGAAACTAGAAAAGAAAAATGCAGAAAACCCAAAGAATCTGAAAATGAAGTAAAAAAGATTAAAAAACAGAAATTAACTGTAAGGTGCAGCTATTGGGTTGGCCAAAATATCTGTATGGTTTTTTTTTCTGTAAAATAAAAGGCACATTTTTCATTTTCATTTCATGTTTTTCATTCAAAACATTATTGATTTGAATATTTTGAGTGTGTTGGCAATCTTCCACGTGGTATAATGCTGATGGTCCTCAATTAATTTCTCAATTTGATTGCTATCAACTTCAACTGGTCTGCCCGACCATCGAGCATCATCCAGTGAGAAATCTCTAACAAAAACTTTGCAAAACACTTTTGATATGTTCAATCAGTCACAGCCCCTTCTCCATACACTGTACAATTCTTTCTTTTGTGTTTCAACCTTTCTTGAAATTAATAAATATAATGTGCCAAAAATGTTGTATATTTTCTTCCATCTTCAATATTAAAATGGCTACACAAAAACTTACCAATTTTGATACTTTTTTAAAACAAGTCC